ACACTTAGCCATCTTCACTCTAAAGACCTGAAGCACGGAGTTTCAATGTGTGAATTTACATCAACTCAAATATTCTGATGAGTATTGAATTGAAAGGATGGAGGGAACTGAGAACTATAACTCATTTCAAAATCGTTACAAATACATCTAAAACAGATTTTATATGTGCCAAATCCCTGCCGCAATTAATCAGAAGTCAACAGAATGTAAACTAATTTACAAAGATTATAGGAATTGAAACAGTTTTATTAACAGACGAAATACTATTCAAGTTTACTGAAGTGTAGAATAGATAAATAAATGATTTTTAATAAAAACTGTCACATAAGTACTACTAAAGTAGGATGAGTAGTTGCGGTTTCGGTTATTAGAGATCTTGAAAGTCACTACCTAGAAGCCATACATGTTAGTTAGCTAGGGAACCAATTAGACTAAGCGTTTGTGAAATCGAAATTCTGGAAAGAAGTTAATGAACAGATATTAAACAGGGTGAGATTCGTTTTTCTAGCAGGAACCAAATGGATAAAGTTCAAATTAAGTAAATAGCAAGCAAATCAACTTACATATTGACATTGACTCGTACTGAGTAGCTGATTAAATGATTTAATGCATTTGCCGCCCATTCAGGTTTAGTAATATGATGAGATCCTCCCCAAACGTCTAACCAACCGACATAATATTCACTATTTACCTTGTAACATGATGAAATACAAATTTTTTTATATTTTAGTATTTTATAATCATAACAATGACCTGATCTGTTATATAGTTGCTTAGATTCGTTCAGGCTAAAAATTACGACTTGTATATAGTAGACTCAGTGTGGTGAAAACTGATACAAAGACTTCATTAGGACAAAAACTTATGGGTCCATGACACAGATTTTACAATAAATGTACTACACTCAATGATTTAAATGAACTAGAATTATACGAAAAACGTTAGGGCTAGTTGACAAACTGAAAAAGGCAACATAGGCTGTAATACAAACAGGCATGAGGGCGGTTGCCGATTCGCGGCTGCCCACACCATGGATGGGCTTCAGTTGTCAGAAGGGGCATCAGCCTCGGGAATTTCGAACGAGCTCGGCTTTCATCATGAGACGTCATAACTCTTCTGAACGAAGACATACGAACTCCCACGGCAGAGTTTAAATGGTTTAAATTACTTGTTAATGGTTTTTAGTGAGTTAATTTTCTACGACATGTCGTCGCCAACCACAAACCTAACTCTCCTCCTTTGTCCGGGCTTGCAGCCGGCAGTTACAGTTAGGAACAGTATCGTGGGACAACCGAGTAAGAAATGGTGTTGTTTGGAATCGAGTTCTAGGTAAGGATGGAAAATCAATATATGCAATATTGAAATTTCATTAATTGAGGTGGTTGGGACATGTGTTGCGTATGCCCTGCCCAACGAGCGATGTTTTCTGGCGTTTGAGTAGGCTGTAATCTAGGGGCAGCAAAACCAGAACATGGAAAAAATCCATGAAGTCACTGACAAGTGGATTGAGTCATGTTGGTAGACGTAGACACGTAGACTACCTAATTGTAATCTGCGAGACGATACTAACTGATGTTTAGAGAGCTTGAACGATATGGCTCAAAATCCTTTGCAATGGCACAGGTGCATTCACTGTTTGTGCCCTCTCAAATCCTAACCTCCTAAATCCCTCACCACCTTTATCTTTTTCTTGTAAAGTCTCTTTCACTGGATTCTACCTCGTCGAAACATAAATTTTTCGACTATTGCTAAGACTTCTACTATCTCTACCACCATGAAATTGGAACTGACTATCGCGTTTCTGTGCTAATGTGGCATGGCAACTTGAACTGATTTACGTACGTACAAAGTTCTACATTGTAATTGAGTGAATTCAAAAATCATTAGGTCTAACTTGACAAAGCAGTTTATGTAGAAAGAGCTCTTAAATACTGAATTATTGCTGACAGATAGAAACTCCTCTTCCTACTTTACATCTTTGTGGCAAAACCAATCAAAACAAATAACATGAACTTTATGTTCCTACGACAGTACATATAACATATAATACAACAAAATAGTTCTTGATTATATTTTTATCAAGACCGGGGCTTTATAATATTAAATGTCTATAAAAGACAATAGACAAGTCAAAATAAACAAGTACAAACTGATGGCAGAATGAAAAACGTATGGATAGTAATAGAACAAATCTAATAAAATAAACATATAAAAATGATAGACATTAAAAATTATGCAGTACAGAATGTGGGGATAATCAATTAATCGGCTGTCCCACGATACTCGAGTGATGCATCGGAGAAACCTATGATCGAAAACCAGTAACCTACGAATATCTTCTACTCTCACTGGCCATGTTTCACAGCCAAAAAGTACGACGGAGCGAACTACTGCACAGTACACTCCTACTTTATTCAAAAAATAGATATATTGCCTGATTCATAAGTGTCGCAGATGGCAAGAGCCTATTCAGACTTCTGAAACCATGTTGTGATTTTGTCAGTGACCAGGCCATCAGCACTTGAGACTCCCAAGGTAGGTGAAGCGGTCTACACCCCCCAACTGATTCACTTCCTAAAAAAACAAACCGAAGCTGTTACCTTGACGTGGTGGTCAGGCTTGCCTATCGTCATGACCCAACAGAACTATATTGACTCTGACATATGTTCCTGAAGGTTCTACCATGCCAGGCTGGTTGATTGGAGATCGATGAGACTAAAAGCAACTGCTCAAAGTCTGAGGGCGAGGTCGTACTGCCGACTGCAGAGAGGTGTTTCCCTCGGACAACCAGCATCTGCAGCGATGCTACCTTCTCACAAGGAAGGAAAGGTTAGAAAAGGTCGAGCCTAAAAATGTCACACCTCACCCTACCTCAAGGATTTCCGTCTCTGGCGGTAAGGGCTGCCCACTAAGGGCTTTTAAGAGCGGAGCTAATACTCAAAAAACCTTTCATAAAAGGCCGTGCATGACCGGCCTCAAGCAGTTGTCCGTTGGATTCTGTGGTCACGCTCCCAGATCGTTAAGGCCGACACTAATCTACCTTCTTTTTCAGGTTCCTCAAGAAACACTCTTCCACGGTGTGGGCAGCCGGGAAGTGACAACCGCCCTCATACCCGTAACAACACACGAGACCAAATTGGTCAAAACCAAATCTTTCCTACACCCCCTAATACCTCTCTTATCTCCACGACTAACTCTTCTCACCGCTAATGCAAACGATGCGAGTTTACAAAACGTCATTTCTGGTCTCCTGAAACCCCGCTCTAGACTACATGTTGGAGCTTTTAATGTACGGACATTATGTCAAATAGAGCAACAGGCTTCCTTAACTGGGACATCAGAATCTCACTCGATCGATGTATGCTGCGTCTCGGAAACGCGGATACAGGATCCGAGTAAAATCATCAATTTTATCTCATCTAGTGCAGATAGAGACACAAGTTTTACGCTTCGTGTATCTGGAAGCCGTGATACTGCTTCTCGTGACCTCGCCGGCGTAGGTATAGTATTAAGTCGTAGGGCAGAACTAGTTCACTTAGACTGGATCCCAGTAGACAGTCTCTTATGCGCACTCCAACTAAACGGGACAGTAAGTACTCGGAAGGATAGGGACACTCGCGTCTGCCTCTTCGTCATATCTGTCAACGGTCCAGGGTTTGGATAGAGGACTGTCGCTCGTTGTGGGGCACATGTTTATATTCAGATCATGCCCTAGTGCGAGCGCGTATTTGTTTGAGGCTTACTGGACGTAGTAGGAAAGTCACCGCTAGGAAACCTCTTAGGGTTCTACACAATGATAATAAAGCTAAGAATATATTTCAGGAACAACTAGAAAAACAGTTAGGCAGCCATGTAGTAAGTGATGCTCACCCTGGGCATCTCGAAATGACATCAAAAGGGCTGTGGAAACAGCAGTGATATCTGCTAGTAAGGTAAACCATAAGTCTAGGAAGGAGCCGTGGATCTCAGGAGCATCTAACGAACTGATGGATGCTCGAAAACTCATCCCAACTGGCTCTGAGTGCGATGAGGAGCGAAGTCAGATTAGGCGCAGGCTGATAAAAAGCCTTCGCAATGATCAAGAACAGTGGTGGCTAGCGAAAGCGAGAGAGACTGAAAAGGCAGCGGCGATGGGCAACAGTAGGCAACTATTCAGACTCATCAAGGAAACAGTCAGTCAGTCAGTTGCAACGTAGAACTTCGTACGTAAGTACATCAGTTCATGTCGCCATACCACATCAGCACAGAGATATAATTGTCAATTCAAATCCAATAGTAGAAGAGGTAGTAAAGGTATTAGAAGTAATCGGAGAGGTTAGAATTAGAAGATATTATTCACGAAGTATGATTCAATGAGATAAGGTTAGAAAGTAAAAACTAGAGGTGTTGAAGAACCCAGAAGATTAAGATTTGAGAGAACACAAAGAATAAATGCACTGGCGCCATTGCGAACGATTTTGAGCCATGTCATTCAAGGTCTCTAGCCATCGATTATTATCATCTCGCGGACCCCAACCAGGTAGTCGACAATTACCGACATGGCTAAGTCCACTCGTCAATGACTTCATGGATTTATGCCATGTTTTGGTCTGGCCGCCCCTTACTTTCTTCCAACCTATTCCTACACTACAAAACAAAGCTCGACGAGGCAGTCGGTGGTTAGGCATACGCAACACGTGTCCCAACCACCTCAACTGATGAAGTTTCACCACTTCATCGATTGATCTGCCATTCTTACCTAGTACCCGTTTCCTAATAACAGCGTTGCTCACTCGGGTGTCCGACGATATACGAGCAATGCTTTGAAGACACCTATGATCGAAAACCAATAACCGACGAGTATCTTCTACTCTCATTGGCCATGTTTCACAGCCATAAAGTAAGACGGAGCGAACCACTGCGCAGTACACTCGTCCTTTATTCAGCAAACGGATATCTCGCCTACGCCATATGTGACGCAGGTTGGCAAAAGCCAATCGAGCCTTTTGTATCCGTGCCGAGATTTCGTCAGTCACCAGGCCATCAGCACTGATGAGACTCCCAAGATAAGTGAAGCGGTCTACACGTTCGGCCACTTCACTCTCTATCACTAGTTCAGGTGCCGATGAAACCCAATCTTGAAGCAACATTTTGCATTTCGAGGGGGAAAACCGCATCCCGAACATGCTTGCATTGTTGCTTAGGGTAGTCAGAAGACTCTGCATTTTGTCAGCGTCTTCACCAAGTAGGACTATGTCATCGGCATATTCTAAGTCAATAAGCGAGCCACCTGGTAAAAGGTCAACTCCAGAAAATTCAGACGAGGATAAGGTTATTTCTAGGAGCATGTCTATCATAAAATTAAACAAGAATGGAGAAAGTGCACATCCCTGACGGACACCACTTGAAGTGAAGAATTCCGGTGACAGTTCGCCATAAGCTCTCACTCGACCAGTGGTGTTTGAGTAGAGAGCTTGCATGAGGTTAATGTACTTATTTGGTACACCTTTCAATGACAGACATTGCCAAAGAACCTCACGATCCACTGAGTCAAATGCCGCCTTAAGGTCCAGGAAAACAACTATTGTAGGACGCCTAAATGTGTGTCTGTGTTCCAGGACCTGTCGTAGTGTGAAAATGTGGTCTATACAGCCACGTCCAGGTCGAAAACCAGATTGCTTTTCTCGAGTTTGCTCTTCACGAGCTTTCGTT